GCAATTGCATGATTTAACCTCCCTTTCTGCTCGAGAGGGAAACAAAATAATATTTATTTGGATTGCATTATTGCAGTTGATATTCGAAGCAGCCGTGTGTGTGTGTGTGTGTGTGGGGGGGGGGATATACCCTCTCATTCTCTATAGCCCTCCTCCCCTCATCGATCACTGCGTATCATTAGGCTCCTGTGATATTTATTCTCTCTGTGGGGAGGGGGGGACCTACTGGGGGACACGTGGAAAAAAAAAGATCACCCGTCTGTTCCTTTGCTTCAGGTGGATGGATGCACATAGGCTGCGAAAGACCTTGAGCCATGTATTTGGCGAAGTGTTTGGTTTTCACGGGGAGGAGGGGGTTAATTCGGCGAAGGCGAGTTGCAAATAAATGGTTCAGGAAAGCGAGGGGGGGGTTGGGGGGGGGTTGGGGATGGGGCATATTTGCAAATCCACGGGGATGTTGCTCTGCCCACTCCGGCAGTCCTGGCAATTTCCCCCTTGAAAATGCAACGCTCCATCGCCCGACTGTCCCGGGTTTATCCACACCCCGTGCAGCAGGGACCGGGACATCCCGGGACAACACTGCCGTCCGGTGGGGCTTCCTTAACAAGTTTGGGCTGAAGCACACCCGATTTACAGCGATGGAGGGGTGGTGGGGGTGTTGGGGTGTGGGGAGGGGTTGGCGTGTTGGGGAGGGGTTGGGGTGTGGGGAGGGGGCTGGAGGGGTTAGGGAGGGGTTAGGGGGTTGGGGTGTGGGGAGGGGGTTAGGGGGGTGGGGAGGGGGTTAGGGGTGTTGGGGGTATTAGGGGTGGGGGGGGTTTGGGCTTGGGGAGGGGGTTAGGGGTGTTGGTATTGGGGGTGGGGAGGGGTTGGGGGGTTGGGGAGGGGGTTAGGGGTGTTGGGGGTATTGGGGGGTGGGGGAGGGGTGGGGGGGGGGTGGGGAGGGGTTAGGGGTGTTGGGGGGTGGGGAGGGGGTGGGGGGGGGGTGGGGAGGGGTTAGGGGGTTGGGGGGTGGGGAGGGTTAGGGGGTTGGGGGTGGGGAGGGGTTAGGGGGTTGGGGGGTGGGGAGGGGTTAGGGGGATTGGGGTGTGGGGAGGGGGTTGGGGTGTGGGGAGGGGTTTGGAGGGGGTTGGGGGGTGGGAGTAACGAGAGATGTTTTAGAGGTTGGAGTAAAGTGTGGTCCGGTTTATCACAGTCGATGTTTTAAATAACTAAAAGACACAGCCACGAGACGACGTGTAAGTAAAAGGGGATCGCAAGGAAATAATCAGTCTCCCTGAGTTATTAAAGGTGCGACTATAATAATAGTAATATTATAATAATGATAATATTATTATTCATTCACTCCCTCGATTCGTTGTTCGTACTAATAATATTATCTTAATATTATTATTATCATCATTAATATTATTATTAGTACCAACAGCGAATCGAGGGAGTGAATGGATGGATCATGGAGGAGATATTGCACTAGATTCCCATGTGTATTATTATCTACCGGGCAACGGAGACGTGCAGGGAACTGGACAGGAATTCCGCGTCCTCACACAGTGACTAGAGTTTTAGTCAAGTAAATACAGGCGTTTTTATTTCATGTATCATTGTGTTTGATGTTGGAGATGTGATAACCAGTGCCAACAATTCCAGCCTTTTTTTTTGCTTACTTCCCCCCCACCCCACCACCACCTCGTGAATTGGTCTGTGGGCTGTTCGAAGCTTTGTAAATGGGATTGAATTAGATGGTCTGCAGCCCACAGTGCTGGCTGGCTGGCTGTACTTTGCTCAGGCAAAGAGCCCAGTCATTTCAGAGGGTTAGTTTGATGTACTGGGGTTGGGCACTTTGCTGCTAACACTCCGCAAGGACATTTTTTACAAGAAGAGGCTGCTGAAGTGGAAGAAGAATTGGTCTGACATCCCAGCAGATATCAGGAAGGAAAGACAGACTCAGCACTGGCTGTACCAGTGTCTGCCCCTACTGTTTCACCAGTCGTTCTTTTTGTGGCTGGCTGGAAAGACCCACTGGCGAAATGCCCAAATACTGGCATTGCTTGAAATCATGAAATCAAGCCATGGCCTTCCAGCATTTCATCTCCAATGTAGATCACCTGAAAAGAAAGGTTGATAAATTGCTACTTTGCTTCTTTCGTATATTCCCGGGTTACCTGGAATCCTGACCTCCAAAAGAACAAGGCAAGTCATGTAGAATAAATGTCCATCAGAGTAACTTGTCAAAATGTATGAGTGTCTAAAACATGAACTACAGTGTGTGTACTCTGGGAAGAATGATGTGGTAAATTGGAGAAGCAATACGTACATTATCTTGTTGCACCAATTTTGAGATTTTACACTTCTAAATGTAGACTGAATTTAAGAATTTTCAAAAATCCTGCCCAATCTTACATTTTGATACTTCGGGCTAAGACTATGAAAAATTTGGGGTCTCAGATTATCCAAGGATGTGCATGACTCTTAGCAATACATAACATAACATACCATGGAATGC